AGGTAAACACAGCAACTGTCAGACTCAGGCAAAGACCAGTTCTGCACAGTTCCAGCCATCCTGCTCCTCCTCCTCTTCTTCACTCCATGGAAACAGAAACTCCTCCCCCTGAGTTCTCTGTCACCCCTCACATCCTCCCTCCCCACAAGGGAGCAGATCTGTTTTTTTTCTCACAAAGTTGGAATTGTGATCATCAGATAAACTCCACTTGTTTTGGAAGTTGGCTTTCTCTCCATCCTCTCAGTCAGATTCATTGTAGGTCAGCTAACCACAGATTGAAAAGCATCAAAAGTGTAGTTACAGACTAAAAACTTTGGCAAGCGATCTGCCCGTCGCCCTTATCCCCACTCATCCTGCTCTTAATCAGAAGTGTGTTTTGAGCACCTTTAGCCTTTATGTTACCATTGTCTTTCATGTCCAGTGTGGAACATTCAAAAGCATCAACATGATTGAAACCAAATGAAGACTCTGCATTGCACATTTTCAATGAAAAGATGAACAGCTGAACAGCAAACCTTCATCAAGAAATGATTGTAACATTTGTAGGCTTTACAGACCTCAGAAACTCACTGAACACAGCTAATACCAAAGAAGAAAACAAATCTATGCTGATTCAGCATGGCCAACATTTACAGTGAGCTTTCAGTGCCAGTGATCAAACCTTAAAGAATGCAAACATGCAAAGTAAATCCAAAGTGGAAGTCATTATGTGTTCTGTAGACTGCTTAGCAGTATGGTTTCATCAAACTTAGGACAAAATTTACATCAGGTGGTGTCTCAAAATACAAACAACATCAATTCTAGAAAGAGTGATGTATGAGTACATCCACACAGTGACATTACAAGTGCAAATGAAGAGTCTAATACATGAATTTCTTTCCCATGTAGTTTTGATAGTGTCCTCTTTTAAATACAGTGAGCTCAGGCCACAGAAAATCAGCAGCTGGTGTTTGAACTTGTTAGCTGACTAATGAGCCAGCAGTCCAAGTGAACCAAGCACACAGGATTAGTCACCACTGTGCACTAGTAACAATCAGTGTGGCCCAAAACTAATACTATACATACACACTGTATACTATCAGGATCAGATTAACTTGCCAGGGGACCCTGGGGCAAAAATGGGCTGTCAGCAATATTGTCCTCCCTCACACCCAGGTCCAGTCTATTCAGTACAGAGCCCCAGAAACCAACCAGTATTAAACTGGAATATAGGCCTGTACACTAAAATGATGGTATGATACACTAAAAATAAATGTTGATAGCACATAGTATACAAAAAACTGCATATGCACAAAGTCAATCCGGGCTCAACACAGCACTGAAAATTTCACCAAAGATTTATTGCTTAAATTTCCAACTACAATTTTTCCACATCTTTCCAATGGGTGGATGTATTACAAGAAATGTGGAGCCCCTTTATTTACAAATTTTACTTTCAGATTATGTCACAAGGGCAGATAAAAGAAGGTTATTAATATTCCATTTGCATGGCGTGGGTTTAATACAATTTAAATAACTGAGCTTGTTTACTAATTGCAGCATCTTTTTACCACTCCACCTGACATCCCTTATAAAATGGTAGTCTATGGGGAAAATGCTTCAAAATGTTCAAACTGTACCAACTTTGGCCACTGGGACAAACTGGCAGTTTTTTGTTTTTTTTTTTTTGGCTTCTTTCTGGTTTTTATAGCATTTTGGGACATAAACACCAAAGTCAAAAAAGAAGAAAATGTAAAAATCTGTCAAAAATCTTTCCCATATTCACAATGGGTTTATATAGGTATTTGGAACATAGTCATTGGCTTATAGTATGTTTACTAGTGTGCTAATCAAATGTGTTTTTAACAACTATGATAGTTAGATAACCATGATGATCATCAACTAAACTAACAAATCGTTGTATTAGTGATGAAATCATCTATTCCAGGTCCAAACTGCACAGTAACTAAATGTCTGTTCACTTCTGTTGAGAAAGCCATGGTGTGCACAAAAAAAATAAACAAGAGCTGTTCACAGCTCCCATAGAAGGACTTCCAGCATAGCTATGAGGGCTGTTACATCACGGTGCCCTTTACTGTGGAAGGCTGCTGTCAACATTAGTTTAGGCCTTTTGTCCTAAGTTTTCTTTTGCTGTGATCACAAAATAAGTTTCGCTTATTTTGACACAAGATATTCCCAGTCTCAAGAACAAATCGCTTTGATCATGAAGTAAAGTATTTGTTCAGTAGAAATCACAAAATATTGAAACATAAATGATTTTAAAAAGAAGCTAGTTAAAAAAAAAAGTCTTCTTGGCCTTTCTGCATTCCAAAGGTTACCATAACAGTGACAGGTTAAATTGATGTGATGACAGATGTTCTGCTCCAGTGCTTTCCTCATTCATTAGGGTAAATACTGCAATCAACATCATTTCTCCACTGTTGTGGTTGTGGCTCATAAATACTTACAAAACCTCTGCTGAGTCTGAGTGTGGTAGAGCTGCAGCATGAGATAGCGTTGTTTTTGCAATAATCTTCTGCTACGTTCAGTGAATAAAATCCAGGTCAAAATCATGTAGAAAGTATCTATGATGTTTGTGAACACAGTAAGAGAACCAAGCTGATGTAGTGTTGATGGAGAAATGTGGCTGACAGGGCCACAAATCCAGAAAGTCCTGAAAGAGTAGTGCACTGCAGCTACATAGAGAGCAGGTGAACAGAATACAGGAGGTGACAGCATTACAAGCATAGATATGTAGTCTGTAGGAAATAGTCGTCAGTTTCACGGTGGTTTTATATTGTGAACATTCATTAATGCACTCCTCCCCAAGCTTCTTCCTCTTTCATTTCTCCTTCTTTCTCAGATTTTGTAAGAATATAAAATGATTTCTTTATTATGAGGTGAAAATGGGAACCAAGTTGAAGATACTGTATGTGAGTTTCTATCATGTTTCTAAAACATTTTAATGCAGATTTTATTTATTATGTTTTATATTCAGTCCTGCAGAAGTGGCATTCAGCTTCATAGCTTTATTTGCAAACCCTTTTAAGTCTTCTTGAATGCAGATACCTCACAATTTACCTATATATATATACAGTATATAGTCATAGTAAGTATGAATACAAGATATACCT